ACTTCTTCGCATGTGGCCTCTCATCTACGAGGAAAGAAGGACAATATTTTATTTGTATTCAACAACCAGTAATTACGTCGAAGAGTCCCATGAATACGCTTCTCCAGTACTATTATTCCATGCAGACTCTGCAACAGTTTGAAGTTTGAACTTGGACCCCCCACGGTCACGCTACTTCCAACGAGACTGCTATAAATAGTTTGATAATCACGACATCGCTTCCCAGGTTCTGAGTAACATTATTTCATTCTCCATTAATCACCACATTGATGGCTCCGATGGAACATGCACGCGCTAATAAGCTTCTTGAGCAATCTAAGGTTGGTCCAGCAATATCCCCAGATAGAACCACTCTTCCTCTCACATTCCTGGATATCTCTCTTGCAGGTCCTATCTACGTCAGACGTCAATTCTTCTACCAATTTCCTTACCCTGCTCACCATTTCATCCGCACTACGCTTCCCTCTCTCAAACACTCTCTCTCCGTCGCACTCCAGAATTTCTTCCCTCTCGCCGGAAACCTCCTCTGTCCGCCGCCCCCTCACAAGCCTTATATACGCTGCACCAGTGACGACTCCGTCAGCTTAACCGTAGTCGAGTCCGCTTCTGATGATTTCAATCACTATTCAGCTAACTACCCAAAGAATCTGGAAGACTTGGAATGTTTGGTTCCCAAGTTATCATGGAGTACAGTGGATGAAGACATCAATGGAGCTGACTCCACATTCGTGTTCCCAATCGTAGCCTTGCAAGTCACAGTTTTTCCTAATGTTGGCTTTTGTATCGCCATCACGTATTGCCACGTGATGGATGACAATTGTTGCAGCCACTTCATGAAAACGTGGGCTTCCATTTGTAGATCCGACGGCAGAGATATGACTTTTCTGGACACGTCAACGCCGTCGTATGACAGGGAAGTGATCAAAGACCCAAGGGGCCTTGAAACTGTTTTCTTGAGGGACTATTTTAAGGAAAGGTCGGTGTGGAAGGAAAGTCTCGTGGGTAAAACTTCCAAGCATGTCGTCAATAATGATGATGACCTTTTCAAGGCAACGATAGTGTTCTGCAGAGAAGACATCGAAGTACTGAGAAAGGTGGCGATATATCAGTGGAAGAAAAACGGCGAATCGAACGCACCAAAGTATCTGTCGAAATTTGCGGTGACATGCGGTTTTGTGTGGGCAAGCTTGGTTAAGACGAGATATGGGGATGAGAATGAGGAAGAGAAAGATGAGTACTTTCGATTTGCAGCAGATTGCAGAAACCGACTCGAGGATCCGTTACAGGAGAACTACTTTGGAAACTGCATAACGCGATGCTATGCATCGCTGAAGAGAAAAGAGCTGAAAGGAGAAGAAGGGTTTTTGAAGGCTGTGAAGGCGATTGTTGGGGCAATAGAAGATATGAAGAAAGAACCTTTCAAAGATGCAGAAAAGTGGAAGGAGAACTTTAAGAAAATGTTCGTGTTAGGAAGTACGGTGCTTGTTACAGGGTCCCCGAAATTCACCGTTTATGAGACTGACTTTGGATTTGGGAGACCTAAAAAGGTTGAAATGGTACATTCCTTTAAGTGCATGTCTCTCGCCGAGAGTGGATCTGAAGAAGGTGGCGGCCTTGAGGTTGGCTTGGTATTCAGAAAGCATGAACATGAAGATTTCATGTGTGTCGTCGAACGAGGACTGCAAACTTTCAAAGCATAGTTCGGTATCGTCATGTCATTACTGAAGATTAATTTCGTTTGTATTCGTGATGAAGTTTGATGCGTAGTTTCTCTCCGTGTTAATAATATATTTATGTGGTATACTTATTCAGATACTACGTGATGGTTGCATTGTCTTTTCTTTTTCTTTTTTTTAAACACTGGTAATCACCTATAAGAAACAATCAAATTGAGACACTTTGCACTAAACATGGGTATCTCTTCCAAAAACTACGGTAATGGAAAACACCACAGTGCCACTTTACCCTGCACACCTGATGAAGTTCCGCCTATGTCACAATATCGCTGCATTCCAAAACATCAGCTACTTTCATCTGAGCTTCCAAGCCCCACATAAGGTCTATAAGGCTTCAGATGACCAAAGTTCTCAAAAATCATGATTTAAGCGAAACTAAGAGCTTCTGGTTTGAAACCTACCATGGCCCTCGCCATGTTAGATTGTCCACGTCTATAAATGCAGCAATTTTGATCCTAATTTTCACTATAGCAATGTCAGGACTCAGGAGTTGAAGAAAAATGCAAAACATGTAAAAAAAAGTTTTAGCTCTATGTTTTAGATTTTCAGCTTGTTTTAAATCATCTTGTGAGGATATCATATGGGAAAGTTAACTGTACTCAAAAGACCAAAAATGTGTTAGAGATGTCTGGCAAGCACGATTTGTTATCTTTCTATATTGCGGTACCATTCTATGATGAGTTATTCTCTTGCTTGCTTAAGTTCCCTACATAAATAATTAACTCAATGTCAAATTCATACACCAAAAGCACCTATTTTAACCTCCAAACTAATCAAATCTTCTCCCAACAACCAACTAATGATCAACTTTTAATTTCAACTCAATTTAATCTCTTAATTTAATTCAATAATTACATGCAATTTAACTCCCGAATAATTATAAAATTATACCAAATGCTAATCAAGGTATTGATTAATCAGTATTGTATGCGATTTATTTTTCTGAATTAGATTATATAGTTACCATGCATTTGATTTCTCAAATTTTATCGTATGGGAAGGTTATTACACTCAAAATACTGATCCCCACTTGCTCTACTACTGCCGTTCTGGCGAATTTGTGTGGGTTTGAGACTGTGCGTGAGTTCATTGCGGGTTATTTCTCTGTCCGTCGAGAATTGAGGTGCAGGCTATGGAGGATAACGGAAGGAATGTGGCCTTCAAGAGAACGATTAGGAAGGTAAAGCCAAAGCCTACTCACTGGCGTGGTGGGTAAGCTGGCATCTGGTGGCCTCGAAGACAGGTTAATCCAATTTCATTTCCCATTGTCAAAAGTATGCATTGTATATATTTATGTTAAATTTAACTATTAAAAGGGATTAGAAAGAATCTAAAAGAAGTGAAAGTCCCAGGCCTTTCTAGAGCTGGGCCTGGGACAGACGGAGGACAAGGTTGAAATAAACAAGACAAGGGTCAGCCGAAGGAATTCTGAGGTGTGAACTTGGGCCTGTGGGTGAGGTCGAGCGTGGGGAAGTTATTGGCCCAATAATATCTGATGTCCAGAGAGGCTATGATCCCAGAGGCACAGCAAACATCAACCAGGATTGAGTTTTGCAGAAGGACCTAGTTCTTCACGTGAAGAACAAGAGTTCAAATCCTTATAAAAGAAGTGTTTAACATTTAGTGCTTAGGGAGTATTTGGAAACTAGGAGAAATGCTTTTTAAAATTACTTTTTTGTAAATCGAGATAAATTTCTCTACGTATTTACTTTATATATATACACCGTAAAATCACTTTTGAAATCATGGTTTAGTCTACATCCAAACACTCTCTTAGTAGTGTGTCTGCTTCCATTAGGAGAATACTTGTGTATTAAAAAAAAAAAAGCCTCAATCAAGAGTGCAAGAGGGCTTCATTCAAAGAATCATAGATCTAATCCCGACAATTAGATCAGCTAGCTGGGGTTGTTTTAATTTAACTGTGAGTCTCGAATTTGAGGTTTGGGAATGCAACATATTAGAGACAAGGGTGTCAACATTAATGGTTCCTATCATACCTCGATTCGAATTAATTTGAGCCCATTATTATACCTGAAAGATGGTCTAGCTCAAGATAGCGGGTGCCAATGCAAAAAAAAGAAAAAAGAAAAAAGAAAAAAAGAGCCATATATCTATAAAATACCATACTGTTTATAAATTATCAAATAATGCAGGGTTTTTTTCCCCCAAATAATTGACTGTTTGGAAAATCACAAAAAAGAAATCATGTATTGAGATTTGTCCTACCCAATCCACCACATCCGAGCAGACTTGCCAGCCAAACCAACCAGCACTAATATGATTTCTGTGCTTCCTGGAAGTTTCGTAAGGCCTCGTAGAACCAGTCTTACAATATCTAGTACATAAAATACTTGACTGTTTTTCCCCCTTTAATCACCCCACCCCTGAACATTAACTCCTGCTTATGGTAAAAAAAAATATATTAACTCCTACTATCCAATTCCACTCCATTAGGAAGTTTCATGTGTTTTATTATTTATAGTCTTCTTTTTTTGGCCATTTTCAAAACATCATCATGTCGATTATTGAAAAAATATCATTTAAGGAGTGCTATGAAACTGTCAAAAGTCTGGACCCTGTGGTTAGTCTTCCACAATTATTGTTTCGTTGACTTGACACACCTATACAAGACAATTAAATCTGTACAGATAACAGCAAAGACCAATTCAAAAAGTGGCACATAGATTCGATATTAATCCAATTTCACACCAAGAGAAAACGACATTACATTAATCCGTTTCATATATAGAAACTCTCCACGTAATTAGAGATAAAAGAACCATCAAAATTCCTTGTCTTCTCTTCCCGGAGATCCTGAATCCGATAATAAAACAACGACTACAGGAAGAATGAAAGAGCTTTCGCGAAACATGTCGAGAAGATGATGATCTTACTGGGCAATTCTCCACTTCTCCTGAATACCTATTTTTGTTCTTTCTCACTTCACTGCAGTCAAAATTTGTTTAGAGTATCGAAATCGATGCAAAATTTACAGTCAACCTTAATAATTATTTACTTAACAATGTTAGTAGTATTTACTTTACATATAAGAAGAACAGTGAAACACTATCGGAGTCTATTAAAACGTGAGAACCAAACCTTATTTAGCTATTCCAAATTTCTTTTCTTTTTTGTAATATTCTCCCTCGTATATGTTAATATGTGTATTCTCAATATAAGGTAAAAATGTCCGTGGAAAATAGTTTTTGTTCCCTGTTTGAATCCCTCTCCTCCCTTCAATGGAACCAAACACGGCCAAAGATACGTAGGTCCCACTTGATCTCGATGGAATATACTACCTACCCCCTAGCCCACTCACTAGGCCGGGGCCCGGGGGCTCCAGCTTTGTACCTGCCCCTGCCCCTCCCCCCCCCCCAAATGCTCTTGTTTCCTTCCAGCTTCCAGGATTATCGATGTCGACGTGTCTTTATCCGCCACTTGAAATCCATTGCACCTCCACAGATATATTAATATCAGGAGAATTAGAGTGAAGGGGATAATATTTAAAGAAAAGGACCATAAAAATTTAAATTATTTAAAAGGACCATAAATTTAAAAATACCATACTGTTAAAATTATTTAAAAGGACCAAATATATAAATATAAATTTAAAAATACCATACTGTTAAAATTATTTAAAAGGACCAAATATATAAATATAAATTTAAAAATACCATACTGTTCCTCTTCAAGCCTCCTACATTTTTTCCTATATTTTCTCATATATTTTATTTTTAAAACTAATGCGAATTGATAAATTTTGCTAAATTAAACATGGTTTCTCTCAAAATTTACAACTTGCATAAAAATTAATTAAAAAATACTCAAATATTGTTCAATCATTTAAAAATTGACGTTTTATTTTCTTTATCAAAAGTTAAAATTTTTTATAAAACCATCACATACTTTCATTGAAAATAAAAGTTATATAATTTTATTAAAATTTAGATTATTACATAATTTATTACATAAATAATTTTAAAAAATTTAAAGAAAATGATTTCATTAAATTTCTTAACATTACATGAATTTTTATATTAAAATCTTATATAAATTTCTTATAAAAAAAAACAAGTAATAAAAAATTTCTTTGGATTTTTTAAAACAATGTATATAATAAATTATATAATAATCAAAATTTTAATAAAATTATATAATTTTTATTTTCTCTTAAATTCCGTGACAATTTTAAAAAGAAAATTTTAATTTTTTATAAGGAAAATAAAAGTTTAATTTTTACATAAATAAAAAATGTTTGCATTTTTTTTAAATTGATTTTAGCCAGGTTGAAAACTTTGAGAGAAATTAGGTTTAATTTAGTGAAATTTGTTGATTCACGTTAATTTTAAAATAAAATGTAAGAGGGAATAGAGGAGAAAATGTAGGAGGTTTGGATAGGGACAATATGATATTTTTAAATTTATATTTGAATATTTGGCCTTTTAAATAATTTTAATTTTTATGGTCCTCTCTCACAAATATCACTCCCTGTTGGTCCTTCTCTCTAATTCTCCCATTAATATATTCCCCCTTATCTTAGATGTAAAATAATAATACTATCAATAAATATTTTATGTCGGCAATAGATTGGAGAAAAGAAAAGAAGATCTGATCTATCGAATGCATTTTTTATAGATAAATAACTAATTGAAAATAAAAAATAAAAACGAAATAGAATGTGAAATTCTTAAATTAACATCACAAGCATAATTAATTAGAACAACCAAAATTTGAAATAAAAATTTACCTTTTTATTAATCTAGAGAAAATCAATGTATGGTACAATACTATAATTCAATACAAAAAATTTAATTACTAAAATGTATCATGTCAAGCAGTGATAATTTTTCCTTTTATCTGCCCAGATTCTGCACTCCGCCTATATCCTGTGTGCAGTGTGCATCGACTATTTTAATTTTATCCATGTTTTCCTTCATTTATAATCACATTTTTTTCTCATTTGATAATGACTGTACGACCTCTTTGTCATCATTTACTTAGGGGGTGTTTGGGAAACCCAAAACCATAGTTTCAGAAGCACTTTTTCGTAAAACGAGGTAATCTCCTCCACATATTTACTTCGTAATTCGTAAAAGCACTTCTGAAACCATGGTTTGGTTTCTATCTAAACACCCCCTTAAAAAGAGTCTCACAAATCCCTTATCTCCCTGACAAATCATATTTGATTTGTTTTTCATGTCGCGATAAGTTTTAAATAACTAATTCGTGAATAAGTTAAAATTAATTACAAATAATAAAAATGTTAAAAATATTTTTTTATTTTAAAATATGTTCTTATAATATATAAAAAAATAAAAAAGAATGCATGATATGAGGTATTATAGCAAAAGTGAGAGAATAAATAATTAAATATAAAATTGAAAATATATATTAAATATTAAAACAAATTTAAGCTGAAACTTATAAAATAAATTATATATCTTTTTAAATTCAAAACTTATAAATAGGGCCAAATGGAAGATTGACAAAAGAGGCATAAAGCATATACCCCTGATTTAGTTTGCTTGAGGGCAAGCAATATGAGTCCAATTAATAATCATTCAAATTTCAAAGTTTTTCAAAGAAAGTTGTTAGTAGTTAATTACAAAATCAAACCAAGGATAACAAATTAATTAGTATTCAACAACTAGTAATTAAAATATTGGAGGGCCCCTCGGAAGCGTGGCTTATCATGTCATTTACTTGGACTCCCGTCAGCCACGCTTATTGCAGAAGGCCGGCACTTGCACATCGAAACCAACTTAGGTGCTCATTGTTTTGATGAGAACTCTAAATTTATTAAATCTGGATAATTTATATTTCATTTGGATAATCTAAATTTAATTTATTTCTTATTTTTATTTATTTAATGTAATTATTTTAATAGGTATAAAATCTAAAATATTTTTTATTTAAAAATAATTAATTAAAGATTTTAAATCTAAACTGTTCAAATCAGATATAGACGATTTAAATCTGATGAGCTTATGATGCTCATCAAAATGACGAGTACTGAAACTGATTTCTTTACACATCACATCACAGCACTGCTCTTTCTCTCTATATATATATACACCACTGCGATGCTTCCTAATTTAAAGCCAATATTTCATTATTCTTTAATGATCAGATTGATCACTCCAATGGAACAAGCACGCCCTTATAAGTTTCTTGAGCAGTCTAAGGTTGGTCCAGCAATATCCCCAGGCAGAACCACTCTTCCCCTCACATTCCTAGATATCTCTCTTGCGGGTCCTATCTATGTCAGACGTCAATTCTTTTACCACTTTCCTTACCCTCCTCACTATTTCATCCGCACTACCCTTCCCTCTCTCAAACACTCTCTCTCCGTCGCACTCCAGCATTTCTTCCCTCTCGCCGGAAACCTCCTCTGTCCGCCGCCCCCTCAAAAGCCTTTTATCCGCTGCTCCCGTGACGATTCCATCACCTTAACTGTGGTCGAGTCCGCTTCTGATAATTTCAATCATTATTCAGCAAACTGCCCAAGGAATCTCAGAGAATTAGATAGCTTGGTTCCCGAGCTATCGTGGAGTACAGTGGATGGAAACGTCGATGGCACTGACGACCCCACGTTCGTCTTCCCAATCGTAGCCTTGCAAGTCACGGTTTTTCCTAACGCTGGCCTTTGTATCGCCATCACGTATTGCCACGTGATGGATGCTAATTGTTGCAGTCATTTCATGAAAACGTGGGCTTCTATACGTAGATTCGATGGTGGAGATATGACTTTTCTGGATAGGTCACCGCCGTCGTATGACAGGGAAGTGATCAAAGACCCGAGCGGCCTTGAAGCTGTTTTCTTGAGGGACTATTTCACGGAGAGGTCAACGTGGAAAGACAGTCTCGTGGGTAAAACTTCTAAGAGTATGCTTAGTGATGATGATGGCCTAAGTTACAAGGCTACGATTGTGTTTGGCAGAAAAGACATCGAAGTACTGAGAAAGTGGGCAATGGATCAGTGGGGAAAAAATGACGGATCCCACGCACCGAGAAATCTATCAAAGTTTGTGGTGACATGCGGCTTTGTGTGGACATGTTATGTTAAGACGAGATATAGAGATGACGATGAAGAAGAGAAAGATGAGCACTTTCGTTTTGCAGCAGATTGCAGAAACCGCCTCGAGTATCCAGTGGAAAATAACTACTTCGGAAACTGCATAACGCGATGTAATGCAACGCTGAAGAGAAAAGAGCTGAAAGGAAAGGAAGGGTTTTTGAAGGCTGTGAAGGTGATTGAAAGGGAAATAGAAGATATGAAGAAAGAACCTTTCAAAGATGCAGAAAAGTGGAATGAGAAATTCCAGAAAACGTTCGTGTTAGGAAGTACGGTGTTAGTGACGGGGTCGCCAAAATTCACCGTTTATGAGACTGACTTTGGATTTGGGAGACCTAAGAAGGTTGAAATGGTACATACTTTCAAATGCATGTCTCTTGCTGAGAGTGGATCTGAAGAGGGTGGGCTTGAGGTTGGCTTGGTGTTTAGGACAGATGAATATCAACATTTTATGTCTGTCGTTGAACAGGGACTCCAAACTTTTAAACCCTAGTTCAGTTGTCCCATAATTTAAGATTTCCTAGGTATTAATAAGGTGGATGCTTATAAATTTCCGTTTGAATTAATGGATTAATATATCTCCCGTATAGTTCCAGGCGGTACATGTTTTGGTCACATAATATTTATTTGAGAATTAAAACAACAAAAGTCAGGCCCAAGAAAAAGAGCGAAGGGGGAAAATTGACAACAGCAAAGGAAGAGATAATCATAACATAACATTGGATAAGATATTACTCCTCCTATCCTTAATATAGGACCCAATTCTTAAGTTGGTTTTGGTCCTAAATATAAGACCCATTTTTTATATTTATTAATTTTCTCTAAATTACCCCTATGGATACTCCCTCAACTATAATCAAGTAGAAGAGGGAGATGGGGTATTAAGAAAGATGATTATGGTGTTTTAGGAAAAATGTATCACTTTTCTTATAATTAATGAACTTACCTAATTTATTTAATCTAATCAAATTAGTTAAATGGGTCTTATATTAAGGACCGGAAGAGTATTATATTGAAATGTGGGAATGATTTTTTTTCTTTGGTTACAATGTGGGAATGTTTTTCGTTGTTTATTGTTGTAGTGCGGAGAACATGGGCCGCCCGCCCTACAAGGCTGGTATATAGGGCCGTGGATTTAAGTGGGGAGGCCACGTTGGGTCAGAATTTAAGAAATATCCTATTTTGTCACTTCTGGCCTCTAAGTTGATGGACAAACCCGCAGGCTTTTTAGCCCTTTTAAGAAAAAGTGTATGCTTTATATTTCTCATATGTTTTATAAAAAAAATAAAAATAAAAATAAAGCAATAAAATTATTAATAAAATGCATATATATGAATCAAATTAAGTGATAAACAGAAAATATCATTATATTTAAATATTCAATAGCATCTAAGAACATCTAAAACATCTATTAATAAGACAACAACATTCAAAAATTCGATCAAGAGTACAAATACAAACACTATATTACTTTTTTAAAATCTCATCATCATTATTATCATTACGAGTATGTTCTTCTTTAGTGGTAAAAATATCAAGTTTTTTCATAGAAATTTCACTTTTAAATTTTGCATTCTAACTATTAGTTAAACAAACTGTTGTCTAAAATCAAATAAATCAAACCATTTTATAAAATCTAAAATTATTTAAAATTAAAAAAATTAATAATATTAGAATCATTTAAAAAATAAAAAAAATATAAATGGGCCGACTCTCGGCCTTATAGGACTTGTCCTTTTAAACATGTTTTTTATTTGAAGGAAAAATTTTTAAGCCTAGCCTTTATAATTTTCATGCCTAAATAGGTCAATCTGATGGGTTCGGTCTATTTTTTCGACTCTACTTGTTAATGAGTTATAGGGTGGTGCTGTATTTCACCTGCGCCATTTTGTAATCAAAAAGCATTTGCAATGAAACTGAAGCAAAGAGGAGGAGTGGTAAACATTTATATGGATTTAGGCCCTCAATTTTTGCCCAATTCATTTGGGCTTGATGGAAGCTTATGGCTTCTCAAGGTGAAGGTCCTCCCCCCCCCCCCCCCAAAAAAAATCCGACATGTGGGTAAGCATGGTCCGACTCTCTTTCCCTCTATCGTCACCATCATTGCTCACCTTAAATCTTAATGGCAGTGGCCCGACTGGAAAAACAGAAGCAGATAAACATATTCTAAATACTATTATGATTGTTGTGACTATTATCCCTTTTATTAATTTTTTTATATATATACAAAAATATGAAAGATATTTTTTGTTTGTTTGTCTCATTTCTATATTATTCATACGTCGCACCAAATCGCCCCAAACCTTTGATAAAACAAGAAGTAATTTCTCCAAATAATGTTACCCATCTTGAAGAACATATATCGTTTCTCAAATAACAATGAAAATTCTAAATAAATAAATTGTAAAACGAAACCTTTATTGATTTTTATAAATTTAAATAATAACTGAGAAATCAAGGCTGAACTATGGAATCGGATAAATCATTGGGCATTTGATATATCATTATGGCTTAATCAAAGTCTTGACATGTTTAAGGACGAATTTGATTTTTAAACCCTTCATTTGCACCTTTTTTTTTTTGGGGGGGGGGGGGACCGAACCTTCATTTTGCACATTTGGCGGGGAGCAAAAAGGTTGAGTATTGCACATTGCATGAGTTGTCGGAAGCGGAGCCGTAGTGGACGGAACAAACGGAACATCTACGAAGGCGCAGGCAAGCGGAGCAGATCATCTACGGTTAGTATAGCCAAGCAGGGCGTACACCCTCAACGCGCCATAAGAATGCAACCAGGTGTCGTAGCAGACCACGTCATTCGTACATTGCAACTCAACCACCGCCGACAGGCTGTTTGTCGTTTACTAAGAAATGAAGAATTCAGTTGGTAACAAAACTTCTGCAGTGAGATTACATGCATTGTACTGGCCGTCAATGATTATATCAGCTGCATTCATGAATTATTGAATATATGCGTTTTACATTATGACACACGCACCCCCCCGCCCCAAAAAATTACGTCCGTTAAGGCTAATAACTGATTTATAATTCTAATTGATTCATGAAAATGGGATATTCAAAGTTGGTTGGAGTGTTGGACACCATACATAACAAGATTATATTTGTTTAATTGACAAACATGTATACTCTCGTCAACTTTCATAATTTAGAGATGTCTCATACGCCAGCGACTGTACGTCTTTCTCTTAATTGGCAAGTAATAACCAAAACCGGATGCTAATTCAGCAACATATATACATGCACATATAGTCATCATATAAATACGGGTGACGCAGTGTATTGTATGCCTTCTGGTCTTTAATATAAGACTCCGTTTAACTTTTAATTTGGTCCTAATTATAAAACCCTAATCCATTTTGTCTCCTATATTTATGCATTTTTTCCAAAACAGTTCTTCTAATAATAATAGTTCTAGCCAATACACTTAATTAGTAAGAATATTTTAGGAATGACAACACTTATTTATTACAAATAACTGATTTAACTTACTTCCTTAATCTCCTCAAATTAGTTAACTATAATTAGGACCAAAGGTAGTATTATATATGAACCAAACAGAGCCAATGAGATCGCGACGAGGCCTAATAATTGTAATAAACAATATTATTATGAGAGGAAGAGTGTTGTTGATTTGGTTTTTAATTTCTAGAAGGTTTTGTTTGGTTTGAGTGTGAGAGTGGAGAAGGAGGAGAGGAGGAAATCAGAATGAGGAAGCGATAGAGATGGTTTGACATGGATGATGAGAAGCTCTTTAATTTTCCGGAGGATGTTGTGAGGAGTAAAGTAATATTTTGAGTTTGAGTTTGACTGTGCAATGCGATGTTGAGGGTTGATGGAAGTGAGATGAGAATTTTCAAGGGGTCTTGAATATTTTGGCTGTAAATGCTAATTAAGCAGATGAAGACAATAACCACCTAGCTAGATCGCTTGCTGCGAACGACAATTGTCGAGGCGCAGTAAGTTGACTTCTCTGCCGCAATAAACAGCCAACACGTGGCATAGAAGCTGCTTCCGAGGGACCCCAACGACAAGGGTTGGCCACTTGTTGCTATACATGTGTTAAAGTGATGACACGTCGTCTTCTTCATCTTCCGGCTTCAATATTTTTTTCCTAGTAATAATGCGATCTGGTTTCCAAATCCATCCATGCAGAGCCGCTCCAACAACAATTTTTTTTTGATAATTATTTTAAAAGTTTAATTAAATGAACGAAGTGATGCTTCGTTACTCTTCACAATGAAAGCTGGGATATATATATAATTACTGAGAAAATTTGGAGAGGAGAAGTAAAGAACGAAGATGTTGGCAAATGGTGAGGAAACGCAAATATAAGCAAACATTTGTAATGCTGCGTTCTTTCCAGTTTGGAAAAGAAGAAGTGATCTCTGTAGAACGTGATGTAAATTGTTATGAATTTGTTGAAGTTATTGATGCAACATCAAAGATGGCATAATATTTGGTACTGAAAAATGAAGGACTAGGAAAGGGAGATAAAAATGGAAGAAAAGCGTGGTGAATAAATTACTTGACGAAACTGCACACTACGTATCATTTTCTCCAAATGTCGGATATAGGGACCTATCTACCTTACCGTCCAGTCCATCATTCTCATACTTCCTTCTCTCTCTACCCCCTAAAGTCAATCTCTCCATCATTCACATCCTTTCGACCTCTGTTATGTTGATTCAAATGCCCATGATCTCAACCTTTTACTCGCTAATTTACCTGTCATGATAGCTGAAAAGGTTAAAACATTATAGTTTAAAATATATATCTCAACTATATATGAATTATTGTCTTTGATATAAAGCCCCTAAGTGTTTTTGCAGAGATCATATAATACATATGTGCGTTATAATTAAATAATTTATTTATTTATTTTTTAATCTTCTTAGATTAATCAAATGGCATATTCAAGAAATGTAGATACAAGTTAATGTAATTATAGATTTGACACTGCTAGTGGGGACGTGTGCAATATACGGTATGGGTCGCAGAAGAATGTCAGAAGGGCAGGTGGCATAAGGCCGGCGCCAAATCCCTTGACTTGAAAACACGCAACGCCTCCTTATAAAACCACACGCAGGGAGTTCCCCCATTCCATTGAGACCAACAGAACTTCATCTTTCGCCTCAGAACACACAACGGAACATAGCTACTTTAACACCCGCCCATCTCTGTTCCTGTGTCCATTTCCATAATGGGAAGAGCACCTTGCTGCGACAGGAATGGCCTCAAGAAAGGTCCCTGGACCCCTGAAGAAGACTCCAAGCTCATTAATTACATTCAAGCTCATGGCCCTGGCAATTGGCGCACCCTCCCCAAGAATGCTGGTATGCTTACCCACTTCTTCTTCTTCTTCTGCTGTTCTGTTTTTCTACTCTTTGATCCAAGCATGGCTCAAACCACACTTCCTTTTTTATAGGTCTTGAAAGATGTGGCAAGAGTTGCCGACTTCGATGGACTAATTACCTCAGGCCCGACATCAAGAGAGGGAGGTTCTCCTTCGAAGAAGAAGAGATCATTATCCAGCTTCACAGCATAATGGGAAACAAGTACGTTCCTTTAATCTGAGCTTCTTCTTGATAATTTTGTCGATTTTGTTAGTTTTTGCTCTCATTCTAATGAGTCCCTGTATATGTTTGATTTTGATCATTAGGTGGTCGGCGATAGCTGCTAGATTGCCTGGAAGAACCGATAATGAAATAAAGAACTACTGGAACACCCACATACGAAAGAGGCTTCTTCGAATGGGAATCGACCCTGTTACTCACGCCCCACGACTCGATCTTCTCGATGTATCCTCCATTCTTGGGTCGGTGTTGGGGAACACGTCGCTCTTGAATCTGCAGGGCTTGTTGGGAGCTCAGGCCTTGATGAATCCTGAATTGTTAAAAATGGCCACCACTCTGTTCTCGTTGAAGAACGAAAACCCAGAAATGGTTTCACAGAATCTACAACAAATGATCCAACCTGGCCATTCTCAAGTTCAAGCACAAACCCAAATCGATCCCGCATTAGCACAATTCAATAGCCAGTTTCAGATGCCAATGGAAAACAACAACGCGGAAGGATTCCCTGGGGATTTTCAAACCATGGGATTTTCAGATTCCCAAGTTCCATCCTACATGGCGGGCAACCTTGATCTGCTGCAACAAAACCAAGCTGAATTTCTGGGGGATCCTACTTTCCCGCAAAACATGGGCTATGACTCTGTTTTTTCGACGCCATCATCAAGTACAACCCCATTGAACTCATCATCGACGCATGTGAATAATAGCAGTGAAGAGGAGAGAGATAGCTATTGCAGCGACTTGTTCAAGTTCGAAATTCCAGAGAATTTAGATCTTAGTAACTTGCTGTAAATATATTTCTTTGTAATCTCATAACGGGCTGCTCTGCTGCTCCCTGCAGCTTACTGGCCTGCTGAAGAAGCATGGGGGATTTTTTTTTTTTTTTTTTAAGTTTGGGAACCGTATGTTTCTATATTGATTTCTTGGTCTAGCTTTCTTTCCCCAGTTGTCGATATTATTTTGTTGATAACAGGATTTTTTTGTACACGAGTTTAATCTTCTTTCTTGTTCTGAGATTTATATATTTCTGCTACGCCTTTAAGTCTCTTCAGTAAATTAAACTCACTTCAGGAGAAGATTCCAGATGCTAGACAAATAAATGTGTATTATGGCATACTAGCACTGCTCTAATTACATGTTCTGCCCTTCAATTCACAATTTTGGAAGTAGAATCTGCTCTTGGAAAGGCCGATTAATACGTCATTCCGGTTTTAGAAGTTGGAAAATATGTTGGAACTTATCCAAATCACAATTTTCAAGTGGCTGATGTAAGTGTGAGGCGAGACATTTTCCATTTTTCTTTCTATTTTTCAAGGCTGCCGCTAAAAAATACCCATTCACGTGCTTAAAAATTAAAATCGCAACGGCTCAGTTTCAACTTTCAAAGCTCTCTAGAAAAAGGCGAAAGAATAATTGGCTCTTGCGTCATCTTGCGGCTTTGTTCAGTAATTCAAGGCTCCACGAAAGTGCTCAAGTGCCTGTTACTGTTACGCACGCAAATAATCAATTCAGAGAGCTTATTAATGAGCACTCATAATTAAATGCTTACTTCTGTCTCTTCAATGCGCTGCGACTTCTTTACATGGGGAGTCATCGTTGCTTCATCCATTAATTAAGAACCCCGCAATACTAATATTAACATTATATATCTAATGCTCCCTCAAAATTTAATATGTACTGCATTTTTGTTGAAACTTAAAGAGAATCTCACTGAAATTAACAAATATTTCAAATTTGCTTGCATTTGCATGAGTAAGGAGTTAATGGGTTGCGTTTCATATATATATATATATATATATAATCAATTCATTAGAAACGAAAAAATAGGAAAAGAATACTAAGTAGTCCATTGATTAGTACCCAAAAAAAAGTCCATTTATTGTCTTCTAAAGAAGACTGAAATTTTCTCCTAGGTGCCTTATAAGTAATTAGGACCACAGAGTATCAAATCAATATTATCATATTTTTTTCTAAAAAAAATACTATAGGACTAGTTGATTATGTTGCTTTGACCTTCTCTCTTCCCATCCCCTCACCAATTAGATAAGGAGAGAAAACAAAATACTACCTCCAGTATTAATTATAACAGTCAGTTGACTAATTTAAGGAAATTAAAAAAAGAAGTTAAGTTAGTTATTTGTAATAAATATGTATTGTTTTTCCTAAAATATCCTTATTAATCAAGTGTATTGGCTAAAACTGCTATTGTTAGGAAGACTGCTTTAGAAAAAATAAATAAATATAAAAGACAAAGTGGATTGAAGTCTTATATTTAGAATCAAAATAAAAAATAAATAAAGTCTTATATTAAAAACCGAAGATAATATAATACAAACTAGATTTTATATTTACGAACTTGGATAGCGTGTGTATATGTATAAAGCTTAAACCAAATTTTTTAACACACATGCAATTGGTAAGAATTTTTTATTTGAAAAATAGGAGGTAATAAAATCTACTCTTCTGATTTTTAATATAAAATTTATAGTATAAAATAAGTTTTATACCAAAGAAGTATAATCAATTTCATGATGAATCACATTTTTCACAATTGAAGGGCGGCCAAGTTAAACAGTGGAATTGACAATGACAAGATCATTTTGTCTAATGTATTACCGTACCTTAAATAATATCTAAAAGCAGTAGATCATGATTTTCAATGCTACAGTGTTTGAATCAATTTAGATGCTGCACTTGGTCGGGGCAGTCATCATCTTCATCCGATACGCTACACTGTTCCTTCTTTGTTGTTTCTCTGCTGTCCACACACAAAGCAATCAGACGGGGCCGTCATGACTCGTTACTCATCATTACTCAAATTTGATTTTGAAAGCTCTTGGTCAAACTTCCGACTTTATTATTCAAAACCCGCAAAAGTGTTATTTTGTCCTCACATGCTCGCTTTTCTGCTTTCATGATGAAGGACCCAATTTCGAGAAGAAAACTAGCAAAGGAGAGCCACATAAAAGATAAAACACGTGCCTTGCTGGGTTTTCTTCTTTCGGTGAGTACGTGGGAAAACAACCTTTTTGGTGTTCATCATGATTTCTATCTTTCTAAATTTTCGGAACCGACGGGGTTGTGGACTTTTCACATTGTCACTCCTCCAGTTTTGAGACAGCAGGGCTGCCCTCCGTATTCACATGTTATCCCTAGAGTGAATCGTTTTTATTATCTATTCTTTCTTCTCTTTTTGATGTGCTCCGTTAAGTGGATTCGTTCCACACCCACGAATACGATGGGGGATTCTCAGATCTCTAGAGGACAGAAATTCAAAAGCCCAGACAAAGGCAAACTTTTCGATATCTGTTGGAGAGATCTCAAGCAAGGAATGCATATTCCACGGAAAGTGGCGGCAATCATCGTATTATGAATATTGAAATCAATCCTTGCTTTGCTTCAAAACGATTATTTACAATGTTGAATGGTTGTGGGCACACGCAGCAGATATCGGAATGACGACGTGTCCACCACCTATTAAATCTCGGTACACCCTATAATGGGGTAAAGTATATATATTTCGTGAGGGAACATTTGAAAACTCATTAAATTTAAGGAAAAAATTAGAGAGAATAACCAAGAAAAAGTTATATTTATTGTAAAAGATCTTAAAAATTGTAATTGTTTAGAAGAGTCATAAATAAAATATAAATATGCAAGCACCAAATTGTCCCTAATTAAATCACCTACATTTCCAATAACCATACCTTAAATATTTGACGACTACCATTAATATCTATACTATCTATTTATCAGAAACAAAACGCACTCAAAATTTTTAACCAAAAATAAAGTTTCTTTAGCCACCAAGATGAGGGCAAATTCTTCATCCCCACTTTTTTCTCAACCCTGTTCGTCGTATTAAATATATTATAATAAAAATTATATGTTTAATTATTTTTAAAGATTAGATTAAGTAATTTCTAAAAAATAGCTAGATATAGTAAATAAGCAAAAATATTGATAAAAATGTATGGATAGACAGAGATATATAAAATTTGCAAAATAATTAATAATAAATTGTTTTAATTATTTTAATCAAAATCAAAATCAAAATTATTTTTTCATAACATATTTCAACATGCATAGATTTGTATGAAAATTTTAAATTAATTTAATATAATTTTTTTTCGAAACTTTGCTTCTAATTTAATTACTTCTAATTCAATGTAATAGAAAAGATAAAATTAGATTCATATATAAAATTTAGCTTTTTGTAGAAGGAAATTAGAACACAGACTATTAAATTTTAGTGATCAAATTTAAGTGAACGTTATTATATATAATTATATTGCACAAATTTTATAATGTATAGATTGAATAAAAAATTAATAAAAATTGAATATAATAGAGTGCGTCCTTATTTTTTAGCTACTAATTGTTAAGTAATTGAAATGTGGTTAGAGGGAGTATAGGGTTTATTAGGGGTAGTTTAGTATTAGTATATTTATATTTTAGTTTTTGGTCTTTTTAAATAATTAGGATTTTTAAGATCCTCCACAATAACTATGATTCTTTTTAGCTCCTCTATTCTAATTTTTCCTAAATTTTAAGGTTTTTCTTGGTTTTTATAAACATAGAGCACTGTGACCTTTATTATTTAAAAAAGACCAAAATTTCTAAATTTGAGTGAGAAATAACAAGGACCAGGATGGTATATTTCATCGGAACCAAGAAATTAAACGCATAAAACCTCACTATGTATATTCTTAAGAAAATAATAATTTACATTAAATAACAATAAATGAAAGATAGAATAGTGCATATTTAATGACATGGTTTATAAAGAAGGAAAAATGTTTCTCTCTTGACCTTAGGAGGTGTTTGGGGTAAAAACCCAATCATAATTTCAAATATAATTTTACAATATAAAAAATAAGTATGGAAAAATTTTTTACCCTAATTTATATAAAAATATTTTTTTGGGATAAACTAAACACCTCAAGTCAAAAAGTGTGTACTCCTTTGATGTTTGGTGAGAAGAAAAAGCGCATAAATGGCGTCACATGCCTGGCAACTGGGATGAGACACGTGGCCTGACGTTAACCTCTCGTTCGCTTGTTGACTTAGTCTAGCCGTGAGCTGATGAGAAATGCCTGTCGAAGGTTGAAAACTCGGAAGCAAACTGAGATAGTATCATATACTCTCCGCTCATGCCAACTCTGAAGCGCAAATTAATATTACGCACTAAATACGACAGGCTGACATCACCCCAATCACGATTCCTTCAGCAACCTATTTGTGTTCTCTTTCAACAATATTAGCTCCCAATTAGGTTTGAATATTATTGTCCCAAACCTTCCTTCAGAAGCTCAACACATAGACATATATGCCTGTCTCAGTAAGATACGCAACACTGGAAGACTCACATCACAGTCTAAATTATCATATTTAATTCTGATGTCATCTTTCTGCGGTCTTCGATTATTAATTATTTGCTTAGTCTTGCTCGATCCATTGTGGTATTGCCCTTATTCTCTACCGCCCACGGGAAAAAGAAGCTGCTTTTGTACTGAAGTTGTGTGATTTGGAAGCTTATGGTCCAAACCATGGATAACGTGTTCGTCTTAATTTTTACCACAGTCCATAGCAGCCTTTAACACGTTAAACCCTTCTCGTTTCAGAGGCAGACGAAGTTGTTGACGCGTGTGTAAATGGAATGTTTACTTCTTTCTTCAATTTCATGCATTTTCTTCCTTTCCAAATGGAATCTCATATTCTTCTCTATTTTCTACGACATGGGTTCATGTGTTTGGATTCTGATCAGGTGGCAATGGTTGAAGAATGGTCCCGATTTTAGAGGCCCGCCATGGGGTCAGTGGCGGTTCCGACAACGGACTCTAAATTATTGGCCCAAATACTGTCGCTGGCCCAATTCACTTAGAGCCCTTAAGGCCTCATATCATGTATGGCAAAAAGTTGGAGCAAAATTCACCAGGCGAAAGGAAAAAAGATTCGTCCGACGATCACAATTTACAGCGAATCGCAAAAAAGAA